TAAGGCAAAGCATGTATACAAGAGTAATAAAAGTAATTTTTATTGTCAGGAAAAAATTTGCCAGATAGTGATTCTTATTTTCAGCAAAAAGGTTGTCAGTCAATTTTCAGAAAAATGAATCTTAATTATAAAGGAATTTCACATAATAGTTCTTCAATTAACCTGAGCAATCTACATACTGAAATCCCAAATTCCATGCCAAAATTACACTCTTTTATAACAATTGATCATATACTGTAAATAGCCTTTCTGATGTGAGCCATTTTTTCAAAAAGAACTAGTTCAATCTATCACTCGAATGATCAAAAGGGATGCCAACCTGTCCCAGAAGCAGCTCTGCTAAGACACAACCATCAGACCACATGTCAATTGCAGTTGTATATTCAGTAGCTCCAAAGATCAACTCCGGAGCCCTATAATACCGGGAACAGATGTATGAAATATTAGGTTCACCAGCAACCTGTAATTATAAGTACAAAGATAAATCTCTTGTATAAATGTTATAAGAAAAAAGGGAACCATCCTCAAGGACAATAAGTAAACTACTCACCAACATTTTTGCACTTCCAAAATCACAAAGCTTTAGTTGATGAGTGTGGGGATTAACCTGCATGGCATACAGTAATTGTAAGAGAAACAAGTCCTGTTTTTTCAATGGCTTCATGACCACAGCTCACATTTTCTGGCAAAAATAAAAGGGACAAATTTATAAATTTACTCAAAATGACTACAGAGCCGACCACCACATTTGCCATCTCATTCTGTAGCTAAAATGTTGAGCCTCAATTCTAGCTTTTCATATGATGTCTCTAACTAGGAGGACTAATCGGACAAAAAATCTTATTATACCCGTAGAATCACAATAAACTTGTAATTTAGTTAAAAAATATCGATGGAGCTTAAGAATTTTGTTTTTAAACCCATGCAGGAAAAGAAATCATAAAACTACCCATAGCATAAAAAATATATCATGTGAATAAAAGCATTTCAAGTCCTTAATATAGACAAAAGTACCATCTAAAGTTCAGGATAACTAGTCATGCCATTGAGTGATACCATGAAATATAAGTGAAGCATGTACAATAGCCATGCCACGGCACCCATTATGATTTATGAAAAAGAGGAAGATATGAGAACAAATGTTTCGCACAGTGTTTTAAAAAACGGCAAGTCGAACCGGACTCGCCCCGTTCAACTCGAAAACACGCGTGCCCGTGCCGGTTCCAACCAAAAACCGGGAACCGCCCGGTTCTAGAGTGGAACCGCCGATTCCCATCCGGTTCTATCTGGTTCACACACATAACGCATGACACGCACGTGCGAGAGTGCCCCACGCACACGTGTGTCCAAGCGCACGTGCCCCACGCACACTCACACGCGTGTCCAAGCGCACCTGCGAGCGTGCCCCATGCACTCACACGTGTGTCCAAGCGCACGTGCGACCGTGCCCCCCCGCACACTCACGCGTGCACACGTATGTCCAAGCGCACGTGCGAGCGTGCCCCACGCACACTCACGCGTGCACACGTGTATCCAAATGCACGTGTGAGGTTGCCCTAATATGTTTACACACATTTTATAGTTCATATTGCATAGGTATTTTATATACCAAAGTTGAATACCCATCTTTCGATATGGGATAATTCCCAAACATCATTAAATGAAAACGCAATGTAAATATAGTCTATTAATCAGCAATTTATAATGTAGTTAAATGGCTCGATGGTTATGACTTTGATATTTTTACTTGAGGTCCCAAGGTCGAATCCCATTGGGCATCCCCTTCGGCATGTGTTGCATTCGAATCCCCTTGGGCATGTGTTGTATTTTTGTTGTGTATATAGCAATGGTTTAAAAAGCGGATCGGTGACCCGGATCGAGCACCTCAAAAACCGATCCGGATCGGCGAATCGACGATCCGGATCGAGAATCGGCTGAATCGGTCGGATTAAAGCTTCAAAAAAATCCGAAAAAATTATTATTCATTATAAATGTTGTTTTTTAGGAATCCAATAAAAAATGAGGGTACTACATTATTAACTTTCATTTTTTTTATTAATTTGTGAATATTGAAATGTTTTTTCCCTGTATAAACTTACTTTAACAATTAAATTTGCATCACATAAAAGAAAAATCATAGAATTATCATGGATAAAATATATAATTATATATGAACTATTATAAAGAGTAGACTAATCAATGAAAGAATGGCCATTAAAATCTCGTTTTGGCGAAAAACCCTAACCCGCTAAAAAAACCCAAACTATTACCGCCTAACTAACTATAATCCAAAATTATTACAACCTCACTAATTATAATATTATATACTGAAATTATAATTATTAGCTTACATTTTATAATTATTTTATTAGACAAATAAGAACAAATTAAAAATGTTTTATAATATTATCTAATTTAAAATGTATTACTGACAACTGTAAGAAAAATAGTCCATTACATGATTTATAATGTAAAAATTCATAAATAAAATAAAAGATTTGGTTATCAATATAAAAATTAATAAAATGCGTACAAATTTTGGAAATAACACTTCAATTTTTCAAAAATTTATTTTTTTAAGTTTCTATAATAAATTTAGTAAAAGAGATTGTTAGTAGAAAGATGGAGATTTCAAATAGAATAAACTTTTTATTTTTATTTTTTTTATACCTTCATATTATTTACAAAAATAATTATACCACTATATACAAAAAAATTAACTGTTATATAAAAAATTAATTTTTTTATTTTTCATTTTTTTATGTCTTTTATATTATTTACAAAAATATTTATATTTATACCAACCACTATATAAACAACAAAAATGCAACACATGCCCAAGGGGATTCGAATGCAACACATGCCGATGGGGATGCTCAAGGGGATTCGACCTTGGGACCTCAAGTAAAAAAATCAAAGTCATAACCATCAAGCCATTTAACTACATGTGATTATAAATTGCTGATTAATAGACTATATTTACATTTTGTTTTCATTTAATGATATTTGGGAATTATCCCACATCGAAAGATGGGTATTCAACTTTGGTATATAAATACCTATGCAATCTGAACTATAAAATGTGTGTAAAAATATTAAGGCAACCTCACATGTACATTTGGATACACGTGTGCACGCGTGTGTGTGTGGGGCACGCTCGCACGTGTGCTTGGAAACATGTGTGCACGCGTGAGTGTGCGGGGGGGCACGGTCGCACGTGAGCTTGGACACACATGTGCACGTGAGTGCGTGGGGCCCGCTCACACGTGCGCTTGGACACACGTGTGCACGTGTGAGTGTGCGTGGGGCACGCTCGCACGTGCACTTGGACACACGTGTGCGCGTGTGAGTGTGTGTGGGGCACGCTCGCACGTGCGCCTGGACATACGTGTGCGCGTGTGAGTGTGCGTGGGGCACTCTCGCACGTGCGTGTCATGCGTTACGTGTGTGAACTGGGCTGAACCGGATAGAACCGGATGGGAACCGGCAGTTCCACTCTAGAACCGGGCGGTTCCCGGTTTTTGGTTGGAACCGACACGGGCACGCGTGTTTCCGAGTCGAACCGGGAGAGTCCGGTTTGACTCGCCGTTTTTAAAAACACTGGTATATAGTGGTTGGTGTAAATATAAATATTTTTGTTGTATTCGAATCCCTTTGGGCATGTGTTACATTTTTTTTGTATGTATAGTGGTTGGTATAAATATAAATATTTTTGTTGTGTATATAGTGGTTGGTATAAATATAAATATTTTTGTAAATAATATAAAAGACATTAAAAAATAATAAAAAAATTAATTTTTTATATAACAGTTAATTTTTGTTGCATATAGTGGTATAATTATTTTCATAAATAATATGAAAGGTATAAAAAAAATAAAAATAAAAAGTTTATTCTATTTGAAATCTCCATCTTTCTACTAACAATCTCTTTTACTAAATTTATTATAGAAACCTAAAAAAATAAATTTTTGAAAAATTGAAGTGTTATTTCCAAAATTTGTACGCATTTTATTAATTTTTACATTGATAACCAAATCTTTTATTTTATTTATGAATTTTTACATTATAAATCATGTAATGTACTATTTTTCTTACAATTGTCAATAATACATTTTAAATTAGATAATATTATAAAACATTTTTAATTTGTTATTATTTGTCTAATAAAATAATTATAAAATGTAAGCTAATAGTTATAATTTCAGTATATAATATTATAATTAGTGAGGTTGTAATAATTTTGGATTATAGTTAGTTAGGCTGTAATAGTTTGGGTTTTTTTAGCCGGTTCGGGTTTTTTGCCAAAACGAGATTTTAATGGCCATTCTTTCATTGATTAGTCTACTCTTTATAATAGTCCATATATAATTATATATTTTATCCATGATAATTCTATGATTTTTCTTTTATGTGATAC